AACTAAGAGCAAATGATAATGAGCTGCTTAAAAGGCAAATAATCTTTTAGGCTTAATTACTTGTTGCTTGAAGAAACTATTAAATGAGCAGCTGTGATTTGAAAACTCGCAAAGCAAAAAAGATTTGTCACCAACGTGAGGTTACACTTCCATCGCCAGGGAAGAGACTTCTGTGAACACCACAGCCTCCAGTTTAGAGAACAACTCGGGGTTGCTGTGGTTCAGCAGATCGAGCAAGAAATCTACTAAGCAGGTGGTTAGGGGTTCAATCTCTTGCTGTTCCAGTCTGCATGCTAAAGTGCAAGATACTGAACTACAAGTTGCTCTGTGATGTTTTCAAGTAAGCTGTGTAAAGCACTTTGCACCTTTGAGTAGAAAAGCACTACATAAGAACTTCTCTGTTGTCTTGAGATGATCAACATTTGTTCAATGGCTTGTCTGCAGAACTAAATACACAAATGAGGAGCTGGTTTATTTAAAAAATAATTAGTTCTTCTGTGCATCCCAAGACACCTGATGGGATTTTTGTTGACAGAGATAGAGATAAGAAAGAAGCTGCCACATTTCACTTTTGGTTTTCATCAGGTGTTATTCTGGTCAGAGCTACATTTTCACCCATGGAGGGGCATTTTTACCTTGGAGTCTTTATTGGGTTTGGGAACCTTGTCATGGTTTAGGGTTTGCCTGGATTTCTTCTGTGGGCTTTCAGCTTTCCCCCCTGCAGCTGACTATGGGTGGCTCTTGCTCCGAGCTTCACCCAGTGCTGGAGCCTTCCCTGTTCACGCTTCTTGCTCATCATGCTTGTGGACCATCTGGTGATCAGTGACCATCAGATTTGCATCAATCATCATGGTAATCAGGCTACACTAGCTCTCAGAGATTGCTCGATTGCTATTCCTGCACTAAAATCTTCTTTCTTTGTCTTCATACCCTTGAATTACATGTTGAGCAACTCATCTAAGAGAAAAACTTATCCCAGGATTGACAAGGTGGTCTGTATTTAATGAAAAGGGAACTAAGGGAAGTTACCTGCCAGTCGCACCTGCCTGTCCTTCCTCCGGTGCTCCAAGTTATCTGAGGAACCCAGTGCAGTCTCTAGAAAACAGCAAGAAGCATGATTAAAGTTTCTAATTACACCTCAGAATATTGTGTAAATAAACTTGCTGACAACAGTCTGTCTTGTTGTTGGGTTGTGAATTTAGGGTCCAAAACTTTAGAGCCAACTTAGGCTCATGTCAAGCCTAATGTTTGTGACATCGAGCATTAATACTTGCAGAGCAAAAGCCTTGTAGCTGTTCCTTTAAATGCACTGGAAATTCTAGGAAAAACACTTATTTACTCTTTTCTTGGTGAGAGAGCTAAACGTTGTTATAAATAACAATTTGTCCTCAGTGACTTGCCTGGTTAAAGAAAATAGATTAACCCCAGCAGAGGCTACTTGTGTGAAAACCTCTAAATCACAACACTCATGGCAGGGATTTAATATGTCCTCAACAAGAGCCAACTCAGTGAATATCGCTGTACTAACTAATTAACAAATCTATAAGCCATGTGAGAGGACAATAAGCCACAAAATCCATAAAATCATGAACCTCACTATGTTGTGCAAGAGCACTTTTCAAGTACTGCTCAAAGTACATTTGTGCATGACAGAGAGAGACACCAAATGTGTGAGTGTGAGGACACTGTTACATGCCCACAAAGTCCACAATAGGAAGTCAGTGGCAGGTTTGTCAGTGTGACAATCCAGGTGTGCTTCTAGCTGTATTTGTATAGCAAATGAGGCAGCACGAGGTGGAATAAAGTAAATATTCTTCACAGTTTAAAAGACAACGCCACCCTGGGGATTTCACCCAGAGAATACTGGATGTAACACTAATCATCAAGAAGGCACTTAGGTTCGCTATACTCAGTACAGAGACAAGGTTCAATGATAAAACAGTTGGACAATTTATTAATAATTATTTAAAACAACATATAAAAGCACAATCATAAATATCAATGTACAAATATGCTTAAAAAAGGGTATTCAGAGCCGAGGCTTACCAGTGGAGGGGCAGGGATGCCACGCACAAACTTAAAAAAAAGAAAACTCACCAAGACACAAGTGCAGCACACTATCACACACTCACACTAATAAACTAAAAAAGGCAGGTGTGTACACTCAAAGGATCCCACCACCAAGGCACCCTCGTCTCCTCCACGTCGGCATTCCGCATCTGGATAAAAGAAACAAAGAAAATTTTAATATATTACAACAAAACTAATATAACCCAACTGCAGGACCACACTGGTGATCTGCAGCGAGAAAAAGGGCCTCCCACCAGTGGCATAACAAAAATCAAAACAACAGAAAAACAACATACAATCTAGATAAAACTTTAAAATATGGAGCAGGCAGAATCGCTGTATTGCTCCAACTTGCCGTCTGCCCGACTATAAGTTAATCATCCAGTCAATCACTATGCACGCCAACCGACTCCCATAACCGGTGTTGTGCCAAAAACTGATTGTCTGCCAAAAACT